AGTTTTCCTTCACTTTGATGTGAATAGATAGTGCAGCCAAAAACTTTGAGTTTCTTATAGTCAGGTGTATTTCCAGACCACAGTTTTTCAAGGACTTGAAAATCAATAGCACTATATGAACTTTTATTTATGAGATAAGTGGTCGTTTTTAGGGCTTCTCCCCATAACAACTTAGAAAGGCCAAAACTGTATAATATACATCTTACCTTTTCCAATAGGTGCATGTTCATTATCTCAACAACATCATTTTGCTGAGGAGTGGATGCTCCAGTTTTGTGCCTCAAAATACCAAATTTCATAGAATGAGTCATATTCATAATTGAAAATTTAAGTCCATTATCAGTTTTTAAGGTTTTGATTTTCTTGTTGGTTTGATTCTCACTCATAAGTTTCCACTATTCGAAAATTTAGAAAGTATCATATTTTTGTTTTAAAAGAAAAATTCATATTTTTCTTGAAAAATCATCTACAATAAGTAGGTAGAATTTAATTCCACTTAGAGTATTTACAGATGTTGGACCCTATAGGTCAGCATGTAAATCTTCAAAAATGGAAGTGGATTTATGGATTTCAGTTTTAAAAAGTTAACATTTTTTGTTTTCCAATTACATAGTTTTCACAAAAATCCAAACCTTCAATTTTATCATTTCCAAAATATTCAAGTCTTTTCAAAATAATCAGTCGCTTTCCTGAAATAATGACGAGGTCTTTTATGCTAAATTAAAGACTTATTTAAATCAAAGTTTAAGGTTGCAGAACACTGGTTTGCAATAGATTCAGGAAAGACGGTATATATACCATTTATTTTAGGAGAGGATACAACACTTTTGTTTACTTGTAGGAGTCTTAAGGGGCCTTTATGAATCATGATATTATATTTATCATCAAGCTCTCCTAAGAAAATAAGATTCCTTTTAAGATAAGGTACATATCTAGTATTCTCAAGTTCAATAGTATAGTTATTATCTAACTTCAGTTCAACATTGCTCGTTCCCTTTATTTGACAATTCATGTCATTTCCCATTTGAATTTGCTCTCCATTGAGGTCAATAAATTCAGAAAAATATTCTTTTATGGAACATATGTGAAAAGTACAACCAGGATCAAAGACCCATTATTTTGAGTCTCTTATATTTTGAGTCTCTTATGGTGGTACTCACAAGAATCACTCCTGAATATCAGGTTCATTGTTGCAAACCATAGCTGCAGTTGCATCAGAATTGCTTCTCTCTTTCATATCAAAGATTTTCTTGAAGCAATCCTTTATTATATGTCCTATCTTCCCACAATAATAACATTTTCTGATGTGGTTCTTAATCTTTACATGATTCTTATTCTTTTATTTAGATTTGAAAATTTGAGGTTTCCATCTTTTATTTGAACTGAAGTTGTGCAAGTTTTGTTTCTTATTTTGATTTAATTTCTCTTTTATGTGCAACCCTTCACCAAATTTAGAGTCTTTTGACTCAGTGTTTAGTTTAAGTTTTTTATTCCTCAAGGCTGAGGCTATTTTATCAATTGTAAGATCTTGATCGCTATATTCTAATGCATTTCTGATATCTCTATATTTATCACTTAGAGAATTTAATAGAGCAACAACTTGTTGATCATCGGAAAGTTTCTCATCACAATTTGCTAAGTCATGAATCATTTTTGTAAACCTGTCAATAGTTTCTTCTAAGTTGGTTGAGGGATCAAATCAAAAGTTATAAAATTGCCTTAGGAGATAACATTTATTTGGCATGGTTTTAGTTAGATATAGTGTTTCTAACTTAGTCCACAAAGCCTTAGCAGATGTAGTTTCACCTAATTTTCTAATTACATTATCAGACAAATGTAATATAATTGAACTCCATGCATTATCATCTAACTTTTGTCTCCTATAGACATTAGTTTCTGCAGCCCAATTCCCATCAAGGCAGCAGCACATCTTTGTTGTAATAATAAAGCCCTCATTTTTTGGCGTTAGAGACTAAAGTCTCTAGTGCCATTCCATTTCTCAATTTCAAATTTATGTGTGGTAACCATAATGACAGATATAAACACATAGCAATAGTTATTCAACACATAGAGTATGATGATTCAGGTAGCCTATTTAATTAGTAGAAATGTAAATGCCTAATAACTCAGGATACGGTAATTATGCCTATTTATTATGCAATTTACAGAATCAATTTACGTATCAATTCAAATAGTATAAATTTTATTTGAAAAGGTTTAAGGAGTGGTAACCATTGGTTCCACTACTCCCTCAAATTCTCAGATCCTTGCATGAGATTTCGGACAAAAGAAAGTAATGGAGGATCACTTACCTCAATAACTAATTCCAAACTCAAGAAATTACCAAATTAAAGAGGGGGTCTCAGAAAATACCAGTGTCTGAAACCTTAATGTTTCATAATAAGAGAAGCAGTAGAGGAATACCATAATCGGACCAAGATTTGCAATACAGATGCAAGAAATAATCGTGTCACCAAGACTCATTATAAACTCAAAGTGAGTGAAGAACTCAACAAGAATTGGAGCAGGTTAACTCAACTCCTTAGACTCAGCATGAGTCAAAGAGTCAACAAAACACAAAAAGAGTCATTATCTTAAATCGCCAAAAAACTCAGCAAGAACAACAAATTAAACAAAGTCAATAGCAAGTTACAACGAGTTTTTGGAAAAAACAAATTTTGTCTCACAAACTGTAACCGATCAACAAGATCTACAAATCTATATTGACCAAAAGAATTTTTCCAACAGCAAACCGTTTTGATACCACTTGTTACGCCCAGATACGACTTATTTATGGATCGATCTATATAACAATTCAATAAATTGCAGAAAATTAAAGAAATCAGAACACAAAATATGTTTCGCCCAAAAAACGGCCCGGATGTTATTCTTACAACCTAATCACCCGTTGAGTATCGGCAATGAGATATAGCTTTAGATCCACTAACAATAACCAAGAAATCGTTACAAAATGTAAGAAGAAACCATGAGTTCCTTCGAGTTCTTTCTAGCCTCTTTACAACCGGTTCACAACACTCAATTTCAAAGAATGTACTAAACAATCAACCTTACAAGAAAAGAGATTGAAGAACCACACAGATTGGTTACAAATTTTCAGAAGGAAAAACCCCAACTATCCTCAGAAAAAAGACGGAGAGACTGTATTGAACCATCTCAATGAGAAAGGGCCAAAACCAAGTTAAATATCCGATCAAGTCAATGGTCACAATTCAAGGATTAGAAATCAGCCACGTGTAGGGCTGATTCTCAACCCTGAAGAGGCAAAGTTGTGAAACCCTGAAAACACGATTCTCTTAATTGTATTAACACGAATTGAAAACAACCAAATTCTGCATAGGCCCAAGTAAGCCAAGAAAGAGTGAGGCAACCCAAAACATCAACAGACTTTCTTCTCCTGAACTCTTAATGCTTGATGGAAAGGAGATATTTGAATTTGCATACGTTTCTTCTCTTTTAGGTAGAACTATTTATTGATTTCCTTGAATGCTTTCGGTCTAATTGGGTCTTTTGGGTTAATGATAGGTGTTGGTCAGTTAGTGGTGAGTTTCCAACTGTTCCTGTTATGTATTTACATTTTGTTTATTAGCTTACGTGTCTTGTTTTTATTGGTTATACTTAAATTATTGAGCCACATATGTTACTTATGATTTTTGCAAGGGGGAGATCTCGTCCTCCTATTGGCGAACTCCTAAATTTATTCTCAGTCTCACTCTTTTTAGGCTCGCATAGAAAAATTACATTTTCGCTTCTTCATTTTCATTTAAATTTCTTTATTCAACAGCTACATTTAGAAAATTCACTAAAAAAAATGCTACAGTACTTCAAATTCATGAAAAAACTGGTAGAAATTATTGAAGAAGTGCTAAAATAAACATGTACGCAGATCTTTATTCACAACATTTTAATGTTTCTACCGCAAAATTTTTACTAGTGTGAACGGTGCTTCATGCTTTGGAGTGGAAGGAGAGCCGGCTACCTTACCTAAGCCCATTAAAACCTCAATTCCTCGGACCAAATAAAACAATCTTAATTGGGAAATTTGACGACTGTCAAACTATTTATTACATAAAAAATTTAAAAAAGTATATCCTTTTCAATTAGATTTCCCTATACCTAACTAAAATTAATTGGAAAAAATACCCATTAATAATGAAATCTTAATCTTGATAGGTAACATATTATGTTATTTTAATATTAGGAATTATAACTTCCGTTTACATTCTTAGACGTGATATTACCTATACTTTAATATTAGGAATCATAATAGTGGGACGATTGCATTTGTTGCGTGATGGGGTGTTGGAGGATTAGAGTTTTGGAGTAACTAAATTTGTGAAATATGTATATAAAAAAAGAGCTATTTTTCAACGAAAAAAATTAAAAAATATTTGGGTGTAAGTAAAATCCCTGATTTGAATCGTAATTGTGGTAAGGACATCTTTCATGATCAATGATAAAATTAATTCATTGGTAAAATAAGCCTAACGAAGTTATAGAATACCTAAAATCAACTTAAAACGTGACATTACCATTTCTTGATTTAAGAAACTTCTTGATTTGATGTGTAAAAATATTTTTAAGAGCAAATCCAAGACAAAATATGAAACATCTTTCATATTTCTAACGACCAAATTTGGCAAATAGTGCTAAGTCCCATATTAGATTTTGCTAAAATTTCTTATTTTTATTGAAATTTGATAAAAATAAAAATAAAAAATAAAAATATGAACAGTATGTTTTTAAAATTAATAAAATAATGAGTTTTATGAAATATATTTAAACTATTAATTTTGAGTTAAATTTTTATTAAGTTTTTACTTAAACCAAAGGGTTAAAATTTCCATACATCCAAAATATGATTGTGACAATATTTCAAAATATTCACAGCATCCTACTTTAAGTTTGTATGGAGGAAAAGAGAACCACTAAAATTAGCAAAATCTATGGTTATCCCTAAGGTTTGACCAAATTAATTACATTTTAACCCCACTTTGGTAGCCTAGCACGTGTCACCATCCTAAGGCTATAAAAATATCTTGGCATTTCTTCACCGTTGAAATGCTTCCCCACTATGATATATAGGGTTTCGTGGGGGTCCCTCCTTTCTCGCATCACAAATTAGATAAAAGTGGGTCCGAATATTTTTCCTCTAAGAAAAAAGGTACGCATGGCATCCATTCACCGCAACCATCACTCGCAGCCCCAACACCACCACCACCACCACTCGCCGCCCCATATTGAACGGCAAGAACATGATGAAGTCATCACCCTCCCCTCCGATCCTCTTTTGGGTGAACCCCATGAGTACACAATCACCGCCTTTGGTCCTCCGCCTGACGCGGCGGAAACAAATCCGTCGCCACCACCCTTACCTCCACCCTCCTCCGACATTATGCCGCTTTTGAAGGAAGAGCCGGCGGACTTAGAGGGGTCCCTTGCAGTGACTCCATCGCCGCCGCCACAAACGGGTGCGTTGGTGGCGGCGCCACCTAAGAGGTCCAGCAGGGATCGCCACACCAAAGTTGAGGGTCGTGGCAGGAGAATCCGCATGCCAGCGGCTTGCGCGGCCCGAATCTTCCAACTGACGCGAGAGCTAGGTCACAAGTCCGACGGCGAGACAATCCGCTGGCTTCTTGAACGGGCCGAGCCCGCCATCATCGAAGCCACCGGCACCGGAACCGTTCCCGCCATCGCCGTCTCCGTCAACGGTACGCTAAAAATTCCTACGACACCCAGCACTGCCTCCACTTCCCCAGAAACCGCCGGAGATGGAGCTAGAAAGCGACGAAAAAGGGCTCAAAGCAGTGAGTTTTATGATGTCGCCAATTCTTCCAATCTTGCCCCTGTAGCACCCATTGCACCGCAAGGGCTTGTTCCGTTATTTCCAAGCGGCACATTTTTCATGATCCCGCCCACGGCTGGTGCCGCAACAATCGCGGCTGCTGGGCCGTCTAACCAACCCCAGTTTTGGGCCATACCTGCCACCGCAACACCGGTTTTCAGCATTTCTGGGAGGCCCATGTCGAATTTCGTTTCGGCAATGCAAGCGGGAGTAAACATGAGTTTTAGTACTAGCTCCACCACCACCACCACAATTAATCCAACCGCCGTAGGTGGTGGTGCGGCTGCTTCTTCTGGTAACACTGAAAGTGGTGAAAACTCTGGTGGAAAGATTTCAATTTCAACAACAATGGCACCAAGTTCAAGTTCTGTAACGAGTAAAACCACAGTAGCAACTGGTACACAAACGCTTAGGGACTTTTCACTGGAGATTTATGACAAGAAGGAGCTTCAGTTTATGTCGGGTTCAGGTCCTGGAAATCATGAACAGACCCCATCTTCTAAACCCTGATGACTCAAGATTGGGGTTTTAGCCCATATATTTTCAGTGCTTTTCTATTTTTCTGTCTTTTAACCATGGATTAGCTCGCAGTTATCAAGCCTTTTTGCTTTATTCAGGGTATTTCTTCTCCTATCGTTTAATAATTTGTAAATGCTCTCCGATTGATTCTAATGTAACTCTACTTTGCGAGGTAAAGAAACTCATCTCTAAAATTTCATTAGTTTCTAATGGAATTCAATAATTTTATTTTAAATTAGTCCATTTTACACTTATTAATAATTTTAAATTAAATCCAAAAATTGACTAGTTAAGTGTGTCAAAGTTGGAACGGAGGTTGAGTCGGTCATTTTTCTGTCTTTCATTGAGTAGGTGACAAACGGGTTTTATAGAGCGATCTAGGTTGGATTGAAAGCCGGCTAGTCACTACGGATTTTGAAGAGATGAATTAGAAAATAATAAGAAATGATTATGCAATTTGAGGCGAACATTTCTTAGTGTGATCTAAGTGCAACTTATATTGTTTCATCGATTTAAACTTTTAGCTATTTACTTAAAATTGGATCGCTTTTTGAACCATTCTCTATTTTTCGTTTGAATCAGTTAGTTAAGTTTAATTTTGACCAAATTAATTTTGCTAAATGAAAAAAGAAAAAAATAATAATAAAAATAACTTTGGCAGGCCAATATTCACGTACAAGGTTGCATCCAAGACGACTACTAACTTGATATAACTTTCATTTTGCTCATTCGCTTCTTATTAAAAAAACTTAGCCCAGCCCCATTTTGAGTGGAAAAATAAATTTTTGAACAGTGTATTGATAGAAAATATGTGGATAAAAAATAAGGAACAATTTTGAATTTACGTGTAATATTATTTTATTCAATAATGTATGGTTGAAATGATATCAAATCACTGTAAAAAATTCATTTTTCAAAAGAATGGGGATCAAACAAGCCCTTAGGTCCTGTTTGACTCATGTTCTCTTAAAAAAATACGTTTCTAAACAGTAATTGATATCATTTCAATTAAATATTTTTCAATAAAATAATATAACGTAAATTCAAAATTTCTCCTTATTTTTTAACTACATATTTTTCATCAATACACTATTCAAAAATATATTTTTATGAAAATAACGTGGATCAAACAAGGGCTCAATTGAGTTTAAAATTCTTGTAAAGTTTTGCTTTTCTTAAATCTCAAAAAAGTGTGGGGTAGATAAAGTTGAATTTATAAACAAGTGGGATTAATGGGCTCGTGCGGTTAGGAAGTGCACGTGAGTTGAGGATAGTGCACGTGGGAGTGGGCCCCACATGTGGTCCCCGCTTCGAGTGGTGGGACAGTCAAATGCAGAAAAAGTAAGTGGTTGTAGAGCGTGGGACAAGTATTGTGGGCCACTAGTTTT